TTGTCTGCAGGGTCTTTGCATGTGCTGTCACCTCTGGTCTTTGTTCCTCCCGACTCCACACCTTATTCTCTGCATCCCCTGGGATTACCTTCAATGTCCCTTCCTTAAAGGAACCACTCCTAACAACCTCATCAAAAGTAAGCTTTTCCCCTCATATTCTCTCGGCTTTCAGTTTTCTTCCATTTAGCATTTATCGTAATCTGTGACTAAAGTATTCTCTCACTTGCTTTTTTTCTGCCCCACACTCTCCCACACACCTTCCAGGAATAGAAGCTCCACAACACAAGAATCCTATCAGCCTTCTTACATCATAAGACCTTGCACAGATCAGTCATTCAATGACATTAAATAGATGGAAGAGGAAAATGGGAGAAAGGAGTGAAGAAGCATGGTATTTGGAAATGCACTTGGCCTGGATTTGATTGTTGTAAGAATTTAAGAGAAAATGGTGAAGGAAAAAAAAAAAAGCACACAAAAAACTTCAAATTGTGCCTAGCACATAGTATTCGATGATTCATAACTCTTCTCTATTGAAAATATATCTTTAGCCTGGAAGGGTCAACAAACCAGAGATCTCAGAAAGTAATCTCCTGCACACAAAAAACTTCAAATTGTGCCTAGCACATAGTATTCGATGATTCATAACTCTTCTCTTTTGAAAATATATCTTTAGCCTGGAAGGGTCAACAAACCAGAGATCTCAGAAAGTAATCTCCTACTCTAACCAAAATGTATTCCATAGGAGTTGAAGAAAGGTAGTTCTCATAGAAATTGGACACCTGTGTCAAAGTCCTCTGCTTCACAGCCTCTCCCAGCCCAAGCCCCACCTTTTCAATCAAAGCAGAAAACCTGCTTCCTTCCAACCTTCCCTACTGTTCTCCACTTTTTCTGAGTCAATGGCAAACTTCCTCCTGTTGGCCTGGGAACAGCTGAGCAGCAGTGGAAGCGTTCGTGCAAGCCTTCAGTTATCAGGAACGGGCAAAGGAAAGTCAGAATAAAGGACGAAACAGGGTGCTGGCAACTCGATGCCCCAGCGTAGTGGTACCCGCCACTGACAAGTCATTTGTGAGGGCTCAGACCGGCAGCAGTCCAAGCCCAGCTTTGTTACTTACTAGCTGTGTAACTTTAGGCAAGTTACTTAGCCATGCTGTCCTGAGTTCCCTCATCTGTAAAACGGGAGTTGTAACCTCCTCATAGGGTTATCGTGAGGACTGAATAAAATCATTGTAAGGAACTTCAGCAATCGCTGGCAGAGGAAACTCAATGAATTTTAGCTATAATTCTTTCCTGTGTGTGTGTGTATGTGTGTGTGAAAAGTCATCAGCTAAGGAAGATCTTTCCTGGCACTAACAAACTGTTGTTTAATATGTTAAGTTTAATAATTAAGTTAAACATTTGGGGGTTTGAATCCTGTCTGAGAAAGCTGTCTTCTTGCATTACCTATTCATCTTTTTTTTTTTTTTAATAAAGGTCTAGTAACCATATTGTGAAGAAAGAATGGAAAACAAAGTTACCAAATCCTGTAAGAGAAAACTCTTGATCCCTGAAATCCTGGATAAACCCTCGGAACTTCGCTCCAGTGCAATCTTTGTCAGGTGGGACATGACTGTGCAAGACAGAGTGACAGAAAAACTAGGAGAAGAAAATGAGATGAGAGGAACACTTGTGGGAAACAGGTCTAGGAAAGATTGGGTAAAAGAGAAAATTCTGGAAAAACTGGAAAGGATTCAGAAAAGTAAATAGGACTAGAACAGTTAATATTAATCAATCACTTCCCTTGTGCCAGACACTATTTCAAGTGCTTTATATGCATTAAATTCATTTAATACTTTCATCCACTTTAGGAAAAAGGTATCTTTATAATCCCCATTTTATAAGCAAGCAAACCGAAGCAGAGAGAGGTAAAGTAGTTTGCCCAATGACCATATACCTTTCAAAGAAGATCTTCATGTGAAGGCCCAATAAAACAGATGTGGGATTCATTTAGAGTTGGAAAAGGGAAAGATGAGGAGAGGGATGGGATCCGAGTTCATGTGGATTTATAATGATGTTATTGAGGTTTTAAACTCCAAAAACTTTTGTATCATTTTAGAAAGTATTTCTTAAGTTCTGATCTCCGCTGTATCTACCCACAAAAAAATAATCATGCTGTACTAGAAAATAAGTCATCAAAAATATGCATCAGTGAATTCTTTTGTTTGGATGAAAAGCAGTCTCAAGCTTGAGGGTTTGTAGCTCTTCCATAATAGTTGTAATAATTTTTTGATACTTAACCCTACTTGTCTCTTCCTTCCACCTTGCCCCAACATATGCTACTAACATATTTCTAGCAATAATAAAGAAGGGCATTAAAGTAGTAAGAGGAAAAAAAAAATGCAGGAGTTTAGGGGCTGATCACAGAAGGTAATTCCTCAGACACTATAAAATCCCTGCTTACTGGGTTTGCAACCAGGAAACTTAGTTAATAACTATCATTTTTCCAACTCCTCTGGCAAATCCAATACAATTCTTTAGTGGGACATACTAAAAAGTAAATGCAAAGGCATTTGAAAAAGCTCACCCATTTAGATTTAATCACATACATAACTGGTGTCCTCCCAAGTGTGAAAATGTTTTAACCGGTAAGTCAAACAATAAAATGCTATCTAAGTAGAACGGATTTATATAGAATATGTGAGAAATCAAAATTCACTGACTTGCATTGGGTATTTTCACTCAGAGAAGTTCGTAAATGCAGAGCAAACGCCTGCATTTGAACCTTGCCTTTTTTTTTTTTTTAACACTTAGGCCAGTCATTTTCCCGAGAAAGATGTTCTTGTCCAATGACTTTGAAGGGAACAGGACATTTCAATCCTAAAAACCTCTCTCCTTGTTAAGGGATTGCTAGATCTGTGCTTGTGTGTTAGATTTTAAGTTTTCTCTCATTTACCTAGTGCTTTCTTACATGGTTAATTAATAACTACTAAATGAAGCGTAATTCAGCAGAAAGATTATTTCACATTAAAGCTTTCTTGAGATACATATACAAGGAAGACTTTGCAAACTTCTGCAAAGCCAAATTAAAAAGTGGGGGAGAAGTGGGAATCCAGACTACCAAAATATCTTCCCAGGTAGCATCATAGAAAAAGCAAACTCCTTTTAATAATAGTAATGAAATAATCTAAGCATTGCCAACAATTTTGATCTTCATGAATTATTTTTAAATGTACCTACTTTGAATTGAAATTTCTTATGAATGAAAAACTTGGAATAAGAAAGTGAGGAAGGCTGGAGTCCTGGGATCTTTGGGGCACATCTTTGCCAAATGTAAATTGTTTGGGGGTATCAACTCACTACATTTTTCATGTTTTTTTTTGTAATAAAATTAAAGGGAAAAAAATTTCCCCTTTTATGAAATCTTGTGAAAATAATACCTGAATACAGTTCATAGCTGCCGGTCAACATGTTAAAGGCACAATGTGATTTCTGCTGACACCCCTAAGGAAAAGAACCAATCAGCTGAGCAACTTCCTCATTCCCCGTGCTTGTGAAAATGAAAAAGTGGCAGATCTTAGGATTTTAAAACTATCCATTGTTACAAGTA